GATGAGCCAAATCCAACAAAGGCTGTCCGCGCACCAAGCACTTCCGAGCAATTGATCTCCTGTTTCTTTGAGAAAACTGGACATGTCGCAACCGTACCACTAGGACAAGCAGAACAGTCAATTCTGAGTGGTACACCACCATTTGTTTGCCAGTTGACTTCCAAAAAATGAGGAAAAACAACTGCTGAAGATGGACCACTCTTCACCACGACAATGCGAGCTCTCACACATCGGCTCAAACAACTGCATTTATGAGCACTCAAAACAACGATTTGACAGGTCATCAGCCATGTAGTCCCCGGGTGACTTCTTCTCATCCCGTACGTAGGAAGTAAACTGAGAGGTCAACGTTTTTCGATTCTGAAGAAGCCTTTAATGCGTCCAGAATCCATGTTTTAGAGTTACCTACATCAGAGTGGCAAAAGTGCTTCAAAATGTGGTTCGAGCTCATGCAAAAGTGTATAGATCTTAATGTGGAGAATTTTGAAAGGCAGCAAAACGATTTCCAATAAATAGTATTAGTTTCTGTTCTCAAATCTCAAAATATAAAAGGCAGCCCACGTAGCAGCGGTTGTAGCCTCTGCGAGCTTGCGAATCAGCAAAAGCTGGGTGCGCAAAACGGGACTCTTCGTGAGAAGCACTTATTAGCTTTGAACAAATACAGATGAGGTAAGGTTTGAAATCAAAGGCCCTGGAGTTATTGCATCTTTCGTTTTCCAGTAAATGAGGATTCATTGTAGCCTCATAACTCTATTTGCCTCTCCCACATGTAAATGGAATCAAGAAACCCTTCTGTTGGTGAATTTGGCTTTGGATCGCGCTCAATCTTTGAACATTCACTCAAAATGCTATGAATGCGTGTTTTGCTAATATGTCTGTTTTCTTCGGCTCAATTAGTTTACACGTCCCCCAGACGACTTTAGCTCTGGGAGCAAATGAACTCTCGATTAGCCCCACAGGGTAACTGCCGATATTTGATCAGCTGTACATCATGTGATAGCGTCCATTGGGTGCTCCCCATCCTATAATTTTCTGCTTTTTCCTAGTTTAGTACTCAATCCGGTTCTGGATGAGAATATGGGCATATTTCCTTTAGAAACTGTTGGATAGCTGCACCTTCAGTCCAAAAAGGAATGGTGGTAATTTTCATGAGCCATAACTTGTGCAGAGTCACTGCTGTGAAGAATTTAGTCAACTAAAAATTAAATGATGGGCCCGGAAGAAAGGATGTAGCAGTGGCAGTGACAGTTTAGAGGAAACAGACAGAGCTAGAGCCGTCGTGTTTAAGATGGTTGGTTCCATCCTCGGTTCGACAACTTTTGTTATGATAGGCAGCTGTTTTGATGGGAACAACGCTGATAAATCAACTGCATAGAAGCATGTGTACGGAGAACCGAAAGCATGTGTGATAAGATCCACCAAAACTTGTGCTTGACTGGATAACTACAAGGGCATAGTGGCCTTCATGAACAGCATAAAACACATGTTCTCAGAGGTGATAGCAAGCAGTTGGCATCATGGGAACGCACACATTGGTCACTATCGTCTCTGGGTTCACCGCCTTGGCTGTGATCGGCTCTATAATTAGCATCGCCTACATCGTAAACGATCTCAACAACTTCTACGATGATGCTATCGAGGATCTTAACGTCTTCAAGGTGAGCGATGGTTACGAACGCATTTTGACGTCTGGAATGGATGGTGATACCTATTCTATCTTAACTACGATTTTCATATTTCAGGGCGTTGCCGACTCTGCATGGCACAAGATGTTGCCTAACCCTATTGAGCTCGAATGGGAAAGAAATGGCAAGAGAGCTCCTCGTGGGGCAGGAGGATCAGGATGTGGATGTGCTGCACAGCCAAATAATTGTCCACTCGGACCTCCAGGACCACCAGGAGAACCAGGAGCACCAGGAGAAGATGGTGAGCCAGGACAACCCGGCCAGCCTGGAGGCAATACTGGTGGAAACGGTGGCTATAAAGGCGGATCAGAATGTGTAAAATGCCCTGCTGGAGAACCTGGTCAGCCCGGCCCAGATGGACCACCTGGTCCTGCTGGTCCTGACGGCAATCCAGGAGCACCTGCAAGTGGAGGAAGCCTTAGCCCACCAGGCCCACCCGGACCACCTGGTGACAGCGGAAACCCAGGAACTCCAGGACCAGCTGGCCCGCCTGGACAACCTGGTGCTGGAGGACGATCCGGAAGAGGCAACCCTGGACCACCTGGACCACCAGGACCACCTGGAGGACCTGGACAGCCAGGTCAAGATGGAATCCCAGCGAATGATGGAGCACCAGGGGCTCCCGGACCAGCTGGACCGGACGGAAATCCTGGAAGTGCCGGAACTGACGGACAGCCTGGCCAGCCAGGTGGATCTGGAGAGACGGGAGGTGATGCCGAATACTGTCCATGTCCACCAAGAGGTGGCAGCTCAGCAGTATCAGACACCTCTTCTACCGACAACCTGTGAGTTTTGAACCTCTGATACCCTTCCGATTGCTGCCATTATGTACTTATGATAATTGTTATGATTTTCAGATCACCACCTTCCGGAGGATATCGAAAACGAGTTGTTCGTCGCCCTCAGGGAGTATCAAAAAGAATTGTCGTCAAGGCTTAAATTTTGCCAAAACATGATAAAGATATTGTCACTTATGAGGTTGCACGGAGTGTAATGGCTTATAGTTTTGCTTCTAAAACAAAGCATACAATTAAGTGTTAACAGTAGGAGGATGTAAAGGGTGCCAAAGTCTACGAGAGTATGATTGCTCTGGCCACTTAGCTATTCTCCTTGTTCAGCTTTGTTTTGATGAGAGAACTACACAGAATTTGATTCCCAAAGCATCAAAAAAGTTTGCCCAAGAGGATCACGTAACGGAGAGCATGCAGAACAGAACAAATTTTTTTTTGGAACGCAATCATTCAACAAACTATCTGACTTCATTTTAAGGTAATTCAAACCTGCATCAGTTGAAAAGCTATTTTACTCAATCAGGCATTGATTATTTCTGCTGTGGCACAACTATATCTTTTGCCCTACAGGGAAACATCGCTAGAAATAGACTTCAAAGGTGATTCTCCTCTCCCAGACACAACATGATAGACATAAACCAGGCCCGAGGCGCAAGGCCTGAAAAACTTTAGACTACCAAAATTTGGATTTGTGCCAAGCGGGCGCTAGGGGAAAAACTCTAATACACGGAGTACTATGAATAAAAGTAATGGTGGAAAAGGCAATCCATTACTGCGATTACTGCTCTTTTGAACTGGAAAAACGGGAAGGAATGTACCATTCACTGCTTAAAGCGTGATTAGTGGTTTAGTGGTTTCAATAACTCAAAGAAGTGGCTTCCAAGCAGCAGGCTTTTAGAATAGGGTGATTGAGCCAACTACCTTTTGTAATTTGCTTTTTTACGAAGGCAAGCCGGAAAAAAGCGTACATGCAGTTCTTACGAAACATTAAAATATGAAATATCTTTGAGACTGAAGTAACGAACAGAGCCAGAAGTTGGCATTAGACCGTATCGCAGCCAAAGAAATGNGCTTTTTTACGAAGGCAAGCCGGAAAAAAGCGTACATGCAGTTCTTACGAAGCATTAAAATATGAAATATCTCTAAGACTAAAGAAACGAACAGAGCCAGAAGTTGGCATTAGACCGTATCGCAGCCAAAGAAATGATGTCGTAAAGCGAAGCAAAACTCGATTTTCAACTCATTTTCTCGTTAGGCTACTTTGAATTCATCAGCAGTTTTATCCCTAGGAGTAATGTCTAACGTTGAACTAGTGTGTAGGCTTAGCATGTAATTCAGAGTATACTTCTTTTTCTCCGTAGCGTTAATCCTGCTCAGTCATATGGTCCACTGTTCTTGTCAGTCATTTCCTCTTCCTTTTATCTTGTGCATCATCTACCGTTACTTTAGTTCCGGCAAAGTCCTTATTGATCACGTCTTCCCATATATTCAGTAGATCTCCTCATACCCTGAGAATCGAACCCTGCTGCCTGACTTATCAGATTATTCGGTTGCCCCCTCAATATACAGTAGCGGCAAAAAGTCTTCGGTCAAATGGTTCTTCAGCCGTCCTTTTCAGTCGTAACTCCTTTCCTATTAGATCTAATCAAGCGAAATTTCTATATTTTGAGCGTGGGTGTATTGTGAATACTTACCACTATTAATTTGCAATCTGATGATGTTCCAAATATTCCAAAGAGCTTGAACTCAAAGTCAACTGGAAATAGGGACACTGGTACTTTTAGGATTTCTTTTCTTTTTGCCATGTCCGAAGTTTACGAGCTCTAATACCGAACACAGTAGAGAAGAATAACGCACATAAGTTGCAAATGACTGGAAAAGTCACTAACTTCGTTTAAACGAAGTCTGCTACCGCAAAAACCACCCCGCTCTATCTGTGGATATCGCAGATTCGCAGTCAAATAGTGTTGGGTAGGGTGAAATATGCCCTAGTTAAACATATCCAAATTCCGCGCGATTTGGTCTGCTAAGAAAAAGGTATGGACGAAAAAGCATCAAAGCATTTCACCGGACTTTTGGCCGCTACTGTATATAGCCCTGCAAGCGAATCTGACGTCTTCGTTTCTGAAAAGGTCCTAGTCGCATCCAACGACATTCCCATTCGAGAATCCCCACAGAGTCATTATTTTAATACTTTGAAGCAGCTGCACGAGAGTTCGAAGCTGTCCAAATATACCGTTTTCCGATATGAGATAAAGGATAACCGTAGAATCCATTTCTCTTTTGAAATGTTTGCTTTTCTTTCGCACTTTGTGTGGTAAATTCCATAACACCCCGGAATGCAGTTTGATTTGAATGGTTCAGATAATAATTCTTTTCAATGGGAATACCACAAAGAATGTGGGTGAAAAACAAATATTTATAAAGAGAAATTGATTTTACAGTTATCCTTTATCTCATATCGGAAAACGGTATATTTGGACAGCTTCGAACACTCGTACAGCTGCTTTTAAAAGGCTATCAGGACTAACTTGGTACTCACATTCACTGCGAAGTATGTTCGGAACAGCGGGATTCTTCCTTTTGGTGAGTTGAAGCTTGCAACGTAAGTTAATTATAAACGAACTGTTTGATCAATGTCTTCAGGCGTTCCTCACTACATGTGGATGGGCATGTAAGCGAACTGCAATTTGTAGTTAGTCTCTTCAGTAGCAGTAGTCTTCGAAAGTTTCACTTTTCAGCCATGTGTCCGGACAAGGATGGGATGTCGGACGAAGTGAGAAAGGCTTTCGTCGACAAGCATAATGAGTATAGGTTGGTTTCTCAAGTTAAGTAAGCAGGTAATCTTGAAATTAGCAGAAAATTGTCTAGGACACTCGTCGCCAAAGGAAAAGCCAAAAACAAGCTGGGCGGCAACGCCCCGCCTGCAGCTAGGATGTTGAAAATGGTATCACTGAAAGGCTCAACAGAGCGCGTCGTACAGCGGTTCAATAAGAGTCTTACATAAAATCCATGAGAGAAATGTGTCGTTTTTGCCGATATGGCTTGTTGCAGAGTTATGATTGCGCAATCGAGGAGAACATGATGGATTATGCCAAGGAATGCAAATTTGCTCATAATTCATATAAGGACAGGCACGGCTGGGGACAGAACTTGTACATGACATCGGCGCGCCACATTAATAAGACGAGGGCAGCAGAAAACGTGAGAAAGTCAAACTCAGATCTATGTCTAAGAAACGGAGACTTCGGTTCCAGAGTGTGTCTGCTTGGTTCAGCGAATTAGAACACAAGGGTGTGCCAAAGGAAAACAGACTCACCATGGAAGTTTTCAATCATGGAGTTGGTCACTACAGTCAGGTGATGCACAATTCTACAAGCAGTGATTCAGTCAATGAGTTAATGTATGCGCCTTCTAGGTAGTCTGGCAGCGGAGCAAGAATGTCGGTTGCGCAGTTGTATGGTGTAAAGACATGACATTAGTGGGATGCGAATATGCTCCAGCGTAAGCGTGTTTTTGCAGTGCAAAATTTTCATATCACTCCATTTGAGAGCCGACTTTCAGAGGAAACTACCTCGGATCTCTAATTTATGAGATTGGTGAACCATGCAAAGAGGATAAGGACTGCAATTGCGACGAATGCAAATGCGACAGACAAGAAGCACTCTGCATTCCGCCGCAGTAAGAAAGATAGTAATTCTTCACAAACCCGCGAATTGTCACTTTGAAAAGTATCATAATAGGCTACATTTGCGTGAGGCCTCAGAACTGTGCTCACGCATTTTAGCAGGCCATGTTCATTGCGAGACCATGTTGTGAGAGCGTGTTGGTGCCAAGAAGTCACTCTTTCTTGAAACGTAATTACTGTAAAAATTCATGTAACTATTGCACCTTGTTGAGAATCAGTGTAAGCGCACTTATAAGTTCGGAGACAGCACAGCCATACTGGAAAACAAGACGGATTCAATCGTCCCGTAAATGTGTGACACAGTAAATCGAACACACGCTGAAGAGCCTCCGAACATCCGTCTCATATACTACGCAAAGCAAAGGTACCCGGGTGAAGACCACGGAGGTGGGTTGTGGGGGACGAGGGGTTACGGTGTCACACGTTCCCGGGACGCTGAAATCCCTTTAATTACTGGAAACCTTTTAACAGCTTCTTCAACTATTGTATCGTAATCTTATGGCATCGAAGTTGACCAATTACAACCAAGTACGCCAATTACCAACAAGATTGCCCTTCTTCAGATTGGAAGTTAGTGAAGACAAGCGACCTCATTCGAAGAAGGAAGAGTTCAAGCGACCTCATCCAAAGAAGGAAGAATCCAAGCGACCTCATTCGAAGAAGGAAGAATTCAAGCGACCTCATTCGAAGAATGAAGATTTCAAGCGACCTCATTCGAAGAAGGAAGAATTCAAGCGACCTCATTCTGAGAAAGAAGAATTCAAGCGACCTCATTCGAAGAATGAAGAATCCAAGCGGCTTAATTCGAAAAAAGCATCACCAAAGTCCCACACTGCCGAATTTTCCAAGAAAATGAGTTGTAAGTGACTATCTCGCTGCATGCTCAAGATGTTGATTACTTTGATTTCACTTTCCAGCATTGTGTTCGGACAAAGATGGGATGTCGGATGAGGTAAGAAAGGCGTTCGTCGACAAGCACAATGAATATAGGTTGGTCTTTCAGTTGAGTAGGCAGATAGTTCCGAGTGCAGAGTTACAAAAGAAAATTGTCTAGGACACTCGTTGCCAGAGGAGAAGCAAAAAACAAGCTGGGTGGCAACGCCCCGCCTGCAGCTAGGATGCTGAAAATGGTATCATTGAAAGGCTCATCTGAGCTCAGCGCACAGCAGTTCAATGAGGCTTCCACAAGAATTCTACATAAAGCACTTGAGTTGAATGTGCCATAATAGCCAACAGTGACTTGTTGCAGAGTTATGATTGCGCAATCGAGGAAAACATGATGGATTATGCCAAGGAATGCAAATTTGCTCATAATTCATATAAGGACAGGCACGGCTGGGGGCAAAACTTGTACATGACATCGGCACGCCACATTAATAAGACGAGGGCAGCAGAAAATGTGAGAAAATCGGAGTCAGATCTATGTTCGAGAAACGAAGACTTCTGTTCCAGAGTGTGTCTGCTTGGTTCAGCGAATTAGAACACAAGGGTGTGCCAAAGGAAAACAGACTCACCATGGAAGTTTTCAATCATGGAGTTGGTCACTACAGTCAGGTGATGCACAATTCTACAAGCAGTGATTCAGTTAATGAGATATATGCGCCTTCTAGGTAGTTTGGCAGCGGAGCAAAAATGTCGGTTGCGCAGTTGTATGGTGTAAAGACATGACATTAGTGGGATGCGAATATGCTCCAGCGTAAGCGTGTTTTTGCAGTGCAAAATTTTTATATAATTCCATTTGACAGCCGATTTTCAGAGGAAACTACCTCGGAGCTCTAATTTATGAGATAGGTGAACCGTGCAAAGAGGATAAGGACTGCAGTTGCGACAAATGCAAGTGCGACAGAGAGGAAGCACTCTGTATTCCGCCGCAGTGATAAGGATAATAAATCTTCACGAACCCTCAGATTGTCACTTCGAAAAGAATTTCAGTAATCCTATGACTAGTGAGAGTGAGGCCTCAGAGCTGTGCTCATGCATATTAGCATGCCATGTTTATTGGAAGACCATGTATTGATAACGGATTGATGCCAAAAGGTTTTTCTTCTCGAGACGTAATGGCAGCAAAAAATTTATATAATCAGTGCACCTTGCTGAGAACCAGGGTTGGCGCATATATAACTTCGAGAGCAATGTTATTGGTATAAACACCAACCTTTTTAACTACTTGCCTTTTGATTGTATCATGTTCTCAATGCATCGAGGGTTGCCATTCATTACCAAGTATAGTCCATTCGAAGCTATTGAAAAGTTGACCCTACCAACTTCGGAGCCAGTATCACTGATTGCCTACACTGTCGTGTTCTTCAAAAGAATGCATTGTAAGGAGCACTTCCGCTAGGTGCTCAAGAAAAGTTAAATTAGATAAAGTTGTCCAACCCTAAACGAGTTCCAGTGAGGATCCTTAAGAATTGACTCTTTTCGAGTGATTGTAGTAGTAGTTTTTAAAGCTCTGAGACGACTTCAGCAGCATAATGGTTAGGCGACACCTGTTGAAATACATATACAGTAGCGCTCAAAAGTCTTCAGTGAAATGCTTTGACGCTTTTCCGTTCATAACATTTTTCTTAATGGACCAAATCACGTAAAATTTGGATATGTTTAACTAGAGCTTATTTCACCCTACCCAACACTGTTTGACTGCAAAGCTGCAATATCTACAGATAGAGTAAGGTGTTTGTTGCGGTAGCAGATTTTGCTAAAATTAAAGTTGTTGACGTCTGCACTTATTCGCACCTTATGTGCGTTTTTCTCATCTATTGTGTTCAGCGTTACCGCTCGTACAATTTAGACATGACAAAAAGGAAAGAGATTCTAGAAGGACCATCATCTGTATTTTCAGTCGATTTTGAGTTCATGCTCTTTGTGATATCTGAAACATGATAAGATTGCAGGTCAATAGTGGTAAATATTCACAATTTACCCACGCTCCAAATATAGAAATTTCGCTTGATTAGATCCAGTAGGAAAGGAGTTACGACTGAAAAGTACGGCTGAAGAATCATTTCACCGAAGACTTTTGAGCGCTACTGTACATGTACTTCTGTCTTAGATAGGTAGAGGGGTATAGTGGCAAGTGGTTATTATAACACACGCATGATCCACGTTCATATCGGGATCGATGCTCGCTTTTCCAACAAAGCCTTTAACCCATCCGGGGTCGATTGATTGGAACCAGACCAGTACGCGAGGGCGAAAGCACTGACCTGTACGGCTGGCCTCCGGTGTCATGGTATGGCTGCTTTCATAGTCCGCCGGCCGGGGCAGCGCTTGCCCCTTACTTACAAACTGAATCTTAGCTACTGTGATATACGCAGAATACGTCTTGGTTACGTGACAACTTTGATTTTTCTCTGACAGCAGGAGGCTGGAGCGCCTAGGAAAATACCCCGGACGAAGCCTAGAGGTGGGTCGGAGAAGGGATTGTGGGGTCCCATAGGACAGACAAGCACAACACTCAAAGACTACATTAAGCGGGAGTGTGACAGACGAAGGCAGAAAATTAGGCGCCGCCATCACAATTAAAGGAGACGAGTTCAAGTAGTTCGTAGTCCCCTCTGATATAGCCCAGCTCAGTTGTGAGCTCGATTCGAGACGGGATTTCATCATATGGCCATGCGTGTGGGAGTAGAGCACTTGTTGTATTTCTGAAATCAGGCCAGCGAAGTGTTTTCAGACTTGAGATTTGATCCAGCTGCGTGAACACCCACAGTATATCAATCACTGACTTTGTGTATCTATTTGAATATGTATCGACCTGTATGTCAGTCGCTTAAGTCAAAAATCACGTGGGCGTTGGTAGGTAGATGCTACGAAGTAGTTCGAGGGGATACCCGGAGTGGGAGCGTTCAAATAAGAAGAGGATCATCTCATTCTGATGCATCCAACATTGCATTCACTGATTTCCATCTTGCTTCATCTCTATCTTCATGCCAAAATCGTAGATAAGTAGTGCACATTGATGCTCTCGTGTGTAGGGTGCGTAGCCCAACCGGTTATTGAATACATAGCTCGGTTTCGTGAAATACATTATTAATGCCACAGTTTATTTTGAGATTGCATCTCCCAACAGATTTTGGACTCCTTAACAACATTCAAGCAAGAAGTTTATGCTTTAACAACAACTCTTCTTGACACCCTGAAATTGAATTTGGCGAGGCGTCTCACTCCGCTAAGGTAACCTCCAGAAGTGGGAGACCTGAAATTTGTGAGATCAAACGTTGAATGTACTTGGAAAAGACCTGCAAAACTCACTGATTGTCAGATGTCAAAGGATTGCTTGATTGAACGCCAGAGTAACCTCCTCTCGGTGGGCATGGGCAGTATGCGGCATCGCCTCCAGCATCACCTGCTCCACCTGGTTGGCCAGGAGTTCCGTCATTGCCAGCGGCTCCGGGATTACCATCAGGCCCAGCTGGTCCAGGAGATCCTGGTGCTCCCGCACTGCCTGGTGTTCCGTTTTGCCCAGCATTTCCAGGTGCTCCTGGTGGTCCGGATTGCCCTGGCGGTCCAGGTTTTCCCCTACCAGTACGCCCTGATGCGCCAGGGCGCCCAGGAGACCCTGGTTGTCCGTCATTTCCATTATTTCCACGGTCACCGGGAGGCCCTGGTGGCCCTGGCTGGCTGATGCCTCCTCCAGTTCCTGGTGATCCAGGGTTGCCGTTAGGACCTGGATTTCCCGGCGGTCCGTCTGGTCCTGGTTGCCCAGACTCTCCAGCTGGACAAGGAATGCAACCAGGATAACCCTTACCGTCTCCACCAGTCAGACCTTTGTTTCCTGGCTTTCCAGGTACACCTGGCTCACCGTTCTCTCCAGCTTCCCCATTTTCTCCAGGTGGTCCTGGTGGTCCCGGGGGGCAGACCTTCTGCTGTCCATTTCCGCCTCTTGCACCGCGTTTCTCACGCGGGATTGAATCGCTGGGATTTGGTAGCATCTTTTCCCATGCTGAGTCGGCAACGACCTGAAAGCCTCTGCTTTGGAAAATCTGAACATGCTTTCAAAGTATAACCTTACCTTGAAGGCAGTTAAATCTTCGATCGCACCATCGTAAAAGGAGTTCAGATCGTTCACGATGTAAGCTATACCAGCAATGGAACAGACTACGGCCAAAGCAGTGAATCCAGAGACGTATGCAACCAAAGACTGTGTTCCCATACTGCTAACTGCCTTGTGTTATTATGGGAACCATCGTTTTATGCTAATTTTGAAGGTCACATTGCACTTGTTGTCTACATAGTATTTCGGTTCGTTAGCAGTTTCTATGGGTCTTATCAGATTACTTTCGATTTTACGCGCTCGTTAACAAATACCATGGAGGTTTCGCAGTTTCGCCTTTGGTTAACACAGACTACCTTTGTGTACCTTCGCTACAGAGGAGCATTTGAATGAACACATACAAAGAAAACAGATTTATTTCAGACTGAACACAAATACCGATAATTCAAATGTAAGTAAATAGGAGTCACGGCTGGATATATAGGCTTATTTAGCGCTATTCTGTTTAGCATTAAGTTGTAAACATTACGATAGATACATGGGGAACTGGCTGGAAGCTGTCGTTGGCGATTGAGTGTTTACTTAGGAGGATCGACGACCTTCTCCTGTAAGAAAGTTTCATAAACAAACTCCATTAATTTGGTTTCAATAAATTTTACCCTTTGTGTATTTTGTAGAATAAGTACTACAAAATTCATGTAACACTTGGGGGCCTACATTATTCATTGCTTATCATGTGTATTGCATCAGAAGGATGGAGGGTGGTGTAGTGGCAAAGGGCGCACTATCACACGTGCACGATCCAGGGTTTGAATACTGAGTCGCTACTCGCTTAGGACAACCAAGCCTTCCACCCTTTTCGGGTCGGTTAACTGGTAACAGATTAGTCAGGGAGGAGAGAAGTACTGACTGATACATTGGCAGGCCACATTGCATCAGTCACATAAGCATTCAAATTACCACTGACATTCCAAAGGAAATTGAATGCGGAGCGCATCCCGAATATGGGACTGATTACCGCCGAAGATCCTTCATACAATTGAACGCACTTTTCGAAGCTAACAATGGAAGAGGGGGATTTTTGGAAAGGTTCCAATTTTTGCTGTGTCGGGATTAACCCACAGCACTAATGGTAAGCAGTTCGGCAAGACTATATCCTTCCCAAGGTGCCTCTGTGTACTGCTGTTCAGAAATTCTCTTCATAGCTACTCAAATAAATAGATAGGAGACTCATGTCTCCGTCTTACCTCCTCCTCAGCCTTTATACGTGACACAGAAGCTATGGACTCGTTGGGGGTCTCTTCGTTGCCATCAGATGTTGAGTCGTAGGAAGTCTGAAAAAAATCATCTATACAGTAGCGAATAACTCAATTTTGGTTATACTAGCATGAAGTTACCAAAAGCAGTTTTTAACGCGACTTACTCATTACAAGGAAGGTCTATGAATGCAGCTCATATGCGGCTCAACGTGAAAGGAGCACAGCGCTAGATTAGCTTCCTACCTACGCTCCTATAGAAAGGTAGAAACCTTTACAGGGTTCAACAGAGGGGATGAGCTCACTGTTTGTATGCATCAACACCCTAGTGATTCTGGAACCTACCACTCAGATCATCAGTTTCTTCAAAGGGTTCCATGCTTAGCGGTCAAGTATATGACCCATAGGATATGTAAAAATGTTTGATAAATCAGCAAGGCTTATCTTTGTGTGGTGTCAATTTTTGAAACGTCGGAATGGTCCGTGCTGGGGTGAATGGGCGTGAGCTTGATATCTGCTTGCCCGGTTGAAACTGTAGGAGCGTTTCCGAACTAAAAGCAATACCAGTTTCTGCATCCATGATGAAAAATACTGTCCCATGATGCTTCATGTTTTGAATAACAGAAAATCGGTGCTGAAGCGGCTAGGGCTCAACTTTTGCTCTGACTCGTAACCAGTAATACAGTACAGTGAACCTGCAGTGGTAGTATGTGAACCATGGATCCAGTGTATATACGGAGTGCTCCAAGGAAGGTGTGGGAAAGCTCTAGCATTCCCAAAGGTTTGTAAGGCGATTCCGCAGTTATATCACATTACAACTGTACATTCAAGCCAGGACCATCAGACTTGACTGCGGTACAACGAGAGTCGTGGGCTTCGAAATCCGACTATTTACGGGATGCTTTACTCTTACAGTTTTGTTCAGTTCTTTTGCCACTCTTTCAAGGCAATAGTGCACTTCCCACCTTTTCTTTTTGAGCTCAGCAGTTAAACAGTGTCCTAATGGATCTAGTAGATTCAGAACGACTTACTGAAAACGACTTGAAGAATCCAGATGAGCTGCTTTGAGATGTTCCAAAACTCCCACTTTCAGGGCTTCCGAAGGATTGTACAGTACCGTAGTTGTGAATGTATTCATCATGCCCGGGACCATGATATTCGAATACTTTGCCTTTCCCATATCCTCCAGGAAGTCTGAAAAATCAAGTCTGATGAAGTGCAATTCTCTTGTCGATGAATCAGCATTGTTTACAAGCTATTCTCTTGTGGAATCACCTAATCGACCACTTCCAAAACTTTGTCCTATCCTTGGATTTTTTCTACTGTAAACAACATCTTTTTCTTGACATCCGTAGTGTAGTAATTCTAGAACGATTTCCTGGTTTGCACGGACTCATTAGATACTTCAAGAAGAGGAGGATCTAAATCTTCAATATTTTCCAATCACCTTGGGGAATTTTTGAGAAAGTGACGCTTAACAAAGGATTCTTCTGTCGCAAATCGTCTATGGGGATTTAGAAGCAGTACTAAAGGAATCTATCACATCTAGGTCATACCCAGGTAGATCCCGTAAACCTCTGGTTTACATCTGCGATCGTTCTACTTCCTTAATAGGGCACTTAGATGGGAAACTATTAAACGAGTGGGTGAAAAAGTGACCGATCAATGGGTATATCGTTCTCTACATTATGTATCTTGTATTACTACATCAAAGTATTCTGGTTTACCATACCGTACCTCAGATACAAAACAGTTATATCGATCAAAATGGGAGTCACCCCACCAGTACAGGTGATATGACGTATTATGCCTAAAAAACAAATACTGATTGTATATCAAGACGGATTTCGAAGTCCCTTGGATGGGTGGTGATGCACTGGGAGGATTACTGTATCACACGTTCACGGGACGTTAAAATCCTTCAACTCTTGCTATCCCTTTAATACTTCAAGGTATAAAAAAATCCCTCATCAGAGAAATTAATGTGAAACTTGACGACTGTAGGCAGACAAAAGTGTACCCAGTCTCAGGGACCATGACCTCAAGGGACGATCAGCCAGACGTTTCTTAGAAATAAAAACTTATTTCCAAAACAAAATGACAAGAACAAAAAAAATATGAACTTACTTGTTATTGATGTCCTTGTAGTAGATAACAGGCTTTTTGGTGTCGCTAGTCTTCAGCAAATTCGAATTGATTAATTTACTGGTATACGGCAAGTATGGAAGATAGACAGGCATGACTTGGGGTACCATAACTGGTACTGGTACGGGCATATCAAGGAAAGGTTGGCAAAAGCCAAAGCCGAATAGAAAGCAAGAGAATGGTGTTGGCATTATGAACCTGAAAGCCAATTCAGCATTCATGACTGTGAGGGATCTTTTATAAGGCCCCTCAGGAAGGAGTCAGCGTTCTTTAGCAAACGACTATATATTGAGAGCTGTTACTAGGGTGTGACTCAAAAAAAAACAGGTTTTTTTCAATTCTATAGAAAGAGGTAAACAATTTTGATCGTTCACTATTAACAACAGACTGAAACTAGTGCACAACCACAAAAAAATGTAAGTTCCGATTTCGAAGGGGGGTATACGCAGAAAAGATATGTCGGGTGGTCAATTTAATATGAAAAACCTGATGGGTGATTTATTCCATAGAGACAAAATGGATTCTTTGTGACATCATCTGGGCGAACCGACGATGCACTTTGATGACGGATCACCCCTCAGATTGATGGTCGCAAAGTCCAAGATCTACTAAAGGGCATTACGGTAACAAACTATAGGCAAACCCTTGTCTCACCTTTGAAATCATCAGCTAATTTATAAAAGTAGGTCGAAAAGGAGAGCGATGCCTTATACGAGAAAACAATCCAGTTGTTAGTTTCGGAGCCACGCAGCTGCACAGCGGAGTTCAGTGGAAAGGGGAATTTTGCCGGAAATAGGCTTTATGTTAATTGAGCGTGCTAAATACAAATATCCGTAAGTAACTCACCTGACGTCACCCTCCGAGTTTCCGATGAAAACTCTCAAAAAGGGTTGCACTCTATTTTGGCGCTTGCGCCACTTTTTTCCTCATTTCTGTTACCTTGTTTACTCGCCAAAACATTGGGAATTATCAAAATTTTTGTAGTATCGATTGCTTCTGACATTCTTTCAGTCGATAGAACTTTCTTTCCTAAGCATTAGTTTATGACACTGGGAGGTGAGAAAGGTGAGAAAAATCGTTACTTAGCTGTTGACCGCTCCGTGGCTCACAATTGTTTGGCCCTTCTGGCAGGCGATATTTTCACTTCAGTACAGCTGACTCTAAGACCCTCTAACGGCGCCGGGGAGGGTGCTACTTCATAATTGGTCTAGAGTCCTCTAACCATAATAGCGATAGGCTAATCAAGCCTTACATTCTCGGGCTTGCACGATAAACACAGGGCACAGTACATTGGCTGACTATAACTATTGTACAGTACTCCCCAAAACTAGTTTTTAAACAGCGCAGAAACGCTGACTTGCTTTTTTTGTCGACTCAGAGCTAAGATCGTCAAAATGCTGAAAAATATGGAGCTCATTTCTTCAGAGGGCTCCTTAGTGTTGCTACCCATAGATTTTGGAAAAAGCTTCATCTTGAAGAAGTCGGATTCCGCAGCATTTCCCCAAGTTCTTATCCTTCTTCTAAACCTGGAAAGATAGCAGCTAAGTCCATATACGATAGCCACTACAAATAGTATTGTGTGGGTATGTCGGACAAACTTGTTCAACAGTGAGCATCCTTCCGAGGCATGGATCTGAACACCAAGGCGTGGCGTACTCTGGGCTAAATGACCATCTTTCATTCGCTTACTTACCTACAAGACTTTAATGTAAGCAGTTCGTTTTCGTACAGTAGACTTCAGTTAATGATACATTCACCCTCTAATGGGAGTATTCGAATACGCCGTGCACTCGTCTTTCTTCCAAACATGCGGACCTGATTGTGTTTGCACTGTGTCCTTGCAATGGTGTCCTTTGCACTTGGAAATTGGAGGTTTTGGTGAAAAACGCTGAAGATAATTCTATATAAAACATGTCTTCCCCGGAAGGAACATTCGTTCAGCTTGATGCTCCCTTGTGTCCCCATCTCGGAAACAACATTTTTCACGACCTTCTCTTTAGCGTTTGAGAGGACTCATTAATCTCGAACAACAACATTTTTGATCATTAAAATCGCCCTAATCAGTTAATCAGTAGGTGATGAGGGCATGCAATGTCCGAAACCGCCACTTAATAGAGCAAGGCGACCTCGATAGATTGGCAGCGAACGATGTTTTTCGTTTGAATTCGCCAAATTGCAATTTATTTGCCGAATTTCTCACTTCACCCTAAAACTGGGTCAAATTCATCATCGAATTCAACCAAGCCTACTACAAGTCAACAGCCCTTCGCCTTCTTTGCAGAACTGTGCGTAATGGAAAAAGTTGCTAACGCAACTAACCTATACTTACCAGTAATTTATGGTTCACCATTGTAGAACTCATTATTGAGCTCTTTGTATACCAGAGGGAGTAGAACGCTATCGATTTGCATTTCAAAAGTACTTATTTATCCAAAAAGGCAAAAATCAATTTTTAAAAATCCTGGAATCACTTTGTAAAATCAAACCTTCTCATTTGACTTTCGAATAAACAGCTGAAAAATGCAGACCGTGTGATTCTCATTGAACCCTAGAGCTGCTGAAAGTTTATACTCTTGACATTTGTTTTGGACATTCACCTTGATTTCCTATTACTTGATTTTTGGATGTAAAGTAGGTGTGATGGTTTGCGTTCCTCGTGGCAGATGAACGCTCGATAAGAATGAAATCAAGTCTCACCTGCTGTTCAAAAAGTTGTAAAGACTTTATTTAATATAAAGTGAATGGTGCCAGAAAAAAAGCCAATTCTCTATACAACATAGTTCAAAATAGAAGATCTGAGAAAAGCGTACTGGTCAACGCTAAAGAAACACTTCGATATGAGATTCAATTTCTGTCCGACAAATAGGGCATGTCGATATTTCCTCATTCATGATAGCTTGAAAACAAGTGTTACAAAGGCAAATATGATTACAAGGCCGCAATAAGATTGTTTTCTCTCTATACAGACAAATACAGCACTGAATTCTTTCATTGTTAGCCCTTTCAGCGTACGATATAACAGAAGAAGTCGATCGTCGACGGACTGATCCCGCTTCGCTACGCCGTTCTCCACCTGGGGAGAATACCTCAACTACCTGCCTAATCGGTCTTGCTCTTCTATCTACCTGTTCAGCTATACCCAACAACCACCTAATGGGATGTAGAAGAACTCCAATTACACGAGAGATAGTGTGCACCTGAGGAAATATGAGACCAAAAATCGTATAGAAAATAGAAACACAATATGGTATAAACACGTACAGGAAATATCTTACAACAGATTGTCGTGTTATTCGCTTAACAATGGAATAAGTAATAATGAAAGAAGTTATAAGTATTATTGTCAAAAGTGGGTAATTTCTTACCATGAACTGAACCACCCTTACTGGGGCTGTCGCAATTCTCAATAGTATTACGACTAGCTTCAAGAGCGTTGATAATAGTGCAAGAGGAATAGCGAGGATTTCATGGGTACCATCAGTATAACTGTCCAAAAAAGCTGTGATATTCATCAAACGAGACATCGCCAGTAAGGAACAACTGAAATAAGAGATGAAAGTATCTTTCTATTGGAACAACTTATTGGAGCAATTCGTATTAAACCACTATTAGTCATTTTTCTGTATTTCACTTTCAAATTACATCAAATCAATTTGGTTTTATGGAGTATTTTGTTTTTAGTGCCATGGGTCCTTAGCTAAGTGTAAATGAATCCAATTAATAAATGGCATGGTTGGCATATGATCTCAGCGAAGAAGTATTAACATAGGTTCCGTTTTAGGGAGACTTAAGACTTCAAATTGTATTTAGTGCTCCATGGGTCCTTTGCTAAGAGTTACAACAATGATAAAAGCGATAAAAGCTGAAGTTTCCAAAAACCGAAGTGAAATTAATAATTCATCGCAGGGAAAATTCGCCAACCATCCTATCCTTCTAATAAGATTCATTTTAACCTACCTTGTACTACTCCCTGCTATATAGGATCATATCAATAGGATTCCTAAGGCTGACAATTGTCAACATAAACATCCGCCAAGCTCTTCAAACTCCCAATACTCATAGTACATTGAAAAGCTTTTTTCAATTTTTTTTCATTAATGAGCCTTAAATTAACTGAAAATTAAAAAATGCCGAAGCACAAGACCATACCGTGCGGGAGACAAGCAAAGGTCCTAAAAACATCTGTTCTACTGTACTATCATTCTAGCAATAGTTAAATAAATAAATAAATAACATTGGTAAAGTATATAAAGAAACTGACCGCACGATTTAAGTCGATCCTGCAATGAGTCTGGAACAAGTGAATGACGACAATGAAATTTAGTCCGGAAAAGCATTCGCCTTCAACGTGAACCGCAGAAATTATGTTTAACACACAATAGTTCTCAGTAGGGATTATTTATCTTAAACCAATGATTTTATTACATGATCTTTTTAATGATTAAACACAATACCTTCAAAGAAAGACGACGTATGACATAAAAAACGTAACTAAAACTATTTCATTTCTAGGCGCCGTGCTTATCGTTGGTGATCAAAGATGAGGAAGAAAGTATACAAATTGAAACAGAGCTCAGAGCACACCGACAGACAAAAAACAGCTCTGGGTTAGAAGGCCTGATCAAATACTGAACTGCAGGACAGGACATCAATACTTTGCCCACCAGAAAAGCACCAGAACTTCTAGAATTTTTTTTCATTGTTTGAATCTATTTGGAAACAGCAACAGTTTATTGACACAAAAAACTAGACGAAAAAACAGTATTTTTGCGCACGAAGTTGGTATGAATGAGAAAATCAACTCATGTTTACAACTGTCACATGTTAAAGTAAACAAGAAATGTTTCTAAAGCTATCAGTTCCTACTCTACTCAAATGAGAAAAAAAGAGGTCTCAAAAACAAGAAAAATTGTGAGTTTGCAGCAGAACTTAAACAACATAATCAGACAAACCCAATTTAGGGTCTGACAACGAGCCATGCTTTTGGACGAGAAGGACATCATTACGACAAACGATGCAAGAAAAGGAATACTGTCTGTTAAAACCTTAAAAACTCCTAAAGAAGCTTAAGGTAAGATCCCAAATGGCAGAAAACATGTTACGTAAAAACACCGCTGTCGCTCGTGTAATTACGTACAGCAGCAAATACGGAACCTTACGCCTAATTATTCGCTTGCTGCGCTACGATGCGATTTACCTAAGCCTGCTGCCCACCTCGCACAGCCCTCATAAGGGTGCTTCAGACTCCTTTCAGCAATTCCTGAAGTTGAGTCCTGAAACTCGAGGGAGTCTGAAAGCTTTCTGTGTACTACTTTGAGATTTGCTTCCCTTCCATCTTCAAGAACTGCTTGCTTTGTCCTCCCATAAGGACCTAGGCACAAGGTACTTCAGCCGAGAACTCGGCAATGAAAGGGTCCCACGACAAAAGTGCTAACTTCCAGGACGTTATAAAAGTGCGACCTTACACTTTAATCTTTTGCCGAACTGCAACTGATACGGTGCCGATGGTGTATAACTGGACTCTTCCACGAAGCAAACCTCTCTAGGAGGAAGCCTCCTCAATCTCACCCTGAACCTTGGTCCTGCTTTATCCTCAAGCGAGATGTGAGTCCCTATAGTTTAGTGCTGACGAATGGACACGAACGCCAAGAAGTTTGTTGAAATAGCCCGACTTTTGATGACATTTTTTAATACGTTTGGTACTGAGAAAATCACTTCGTTTTTCTAAAGTCCTACCACGACTCAGTTTGGTCCACCAAAGATAGAAATTAGATAAAAAATCGTAATGGTCTAGTTTATTCGACCCCATCAAATCTTCTCATCTTGTCCATTCCTCCTCCAGAGGCTTAGCTACCCGTGGAGTTTTAGGTTTACAAACTACTGGAGTAGTCACGATGGGAAACTTATTAGGATGAAATTCAAAGTATGGTCACACTTGTATAAGAATGTGGTCGCTTCCAAGATCAACTGATGCTTTTGATGGGTCCTGCTGTCTTCCCTGTGCCTGTGCGTGCCAATTCAGTACCTCCTATTTTACAGTATCTACTCTCAATGTGACCATGACGAGCTCATGAGCCAAGTAAAACAGTAGGCCTTAGTTGATTTGTGATGCACTCAAATGATGTCTGCTCGCCGATCCGTTAGGATTTATGGTCTCTGTTATGATGGCGAATTGCAAAGGGCTTACTCCCTGCCACATTTGCACTTGTAGCAGTTGCAGTCCTATTCCTCTTTGCACGGTTGTACCAAGCTCGTAAACTAGAGACCAAGATTCCTATGGAAATCGGCTGTTCGCTTTAGTGACGTAAAATTTTCTGCATTGCCAAAATGCACCCAAGCTTGGGCGTACTTTGCGTCCCACAAGTGTCATGTCCTTACAATTACACAAGGGTCATAGCTTTACAACTGCACAGCTCACTTTCTTGTTCTACTGCCAGGAACCTAAATGGCTGCATATATTCTTTTAATTCTTTTAGCCGGAATCAGTGCTCGTAGAATACCATATCATCCGACTGTTGTAATCATTCCAAGGTTGAGATTTCCACAATGAAGCTCTTTCTCTTTGGCACAGCATGGTGTCCTGAATAGCTAAACAAAGTGAATACACTCTGGAGTGAAAGTTTTCTTCCTTGAGTTACTGCTAAGAGCTGATTTTCCACCTTCTCTGCTGCCTCCGTCTTATTAATACGGCACGCCTGTACGAGTCTGTCCCCGAACGCGTTTGGCTTTTTATTATGTCCAAATTTGTAATCTTTCGCATAATCCATCATGTTTTTTCAAAGGATTTATAACTCTGGTCTTAGCAAAAAGTACGCGTCTTACCGTCTCAGGTACTGGTAAGGCGACTTGGAGGCTCCCAAGCACTGTGCAGGACGCCCTATGGACGTCCTGCACAGTGCTTGGGAGCCTCCAAGTCGCCTTACCAGCCTCATAGCAAGGCTTTTGGTGTTTTAGCTTCATCTTCTTCATCAGCTTTTAGCTTCTTTCTTACTTCATCCGACATCCATCTCTGTCTGAACAGATGACTAAAAAGTTCGACTAATTTTGTCAGGTAGAGGAGCGCCTTGTCATGGATAACTAACAAGCCCTGTCAGTTAAGGGATGGAATCTTAACTACTTTGGTTTGTTGGTTCTCACAGAAAGAAATTACTTGTCGTAGTGAACACGGTGCAGCAAGTGGGTGTTTTTTCTCATTCTAAAAAGTCTTTTTATGAGCCTAATCAATGCTTTATCACTTAGCGGTGGCTCACATTTCACTCAAATCAAATGTTCTCTATATCCTCATCAACACCAGTCTTCCTACCTGTTTCCTCACTTCATCTGTACTGCAAAGCAGCTGGGCCAGACAGCAGCCCGGTCCTGTCGGAATATACAAAGAATTTATCTAAATAAAGAACACAACAACAATACACAAACTCTAGATAAAGTACGTAGAAGAATGCTTTATTATTTTTCATTCTCCCTTAGATCAAATTACCTTTGGTCGCATTTGTGACATTACAGCTGCAAATCTCGAATAATCAAGAAAACAAGCGAGGGAAACGCAATGATATCTTTAGTGAATGTCTATGCCTGGTTGGTACCTTCACTAAGCGCCTGCATCGGAATAATAGACTGTAATAATTTATTGGATAGACTGTTTATGGGCTGAAGCGTAGCTGCAAAATGAAGTTTAGTTCGAGGATATTAGCTTTGCAATACCGCTTCAATTGTTGGGAACAAGTTTATACCGCAACTATTATTAAATTCAAGTCGAATGATCTCTATCATGTATTCATATCGAACTTTAGCCCCCTACTGATCATAAAAATGGACTCATTGGCTGTTTTAAATTATAGGTTCTCACATCACAATTTTAAGTTTTGATCTAATGCTCTCACAGTTTGACCGTGAACTTTGAACAGGTCAAGTTTCATGGTCAAACTGTGATAGCAACTTACTTACGTTCACGAACTAATCGAACATAATATTTCGCTGGGCTTCGTTAATATTCAGTTCATCATCGCAAATGAAACTCTTCCGGTAGGCTCCTCTCTAATCAACGAAGGACTACGCCATGCTGCCGACTCCATCAAAGAACGCTAGCAACGATGGATGCTGACAATCTACGTGCATTTCTAGACGCCCAAGAACATATGCCATAAGCAGTCACTGGAGGGATGCGATAACGATGGTATCCACTTCAACAAAGTAATATTTGTCGACTGTCCCCAAACCTGCCCGAACTCATGCTGGAATAGGAGAATGGCTGTTTTGTTGGACAACAGCCCAACCAAAACCTTTCACGGGTTGATCAACTTCTATGGTGGAGCCCCACTAAGTCCACAAGCGATCTATTGTTCTTGCCCAGTGCCTATCCCATAACGAATGATCTTACCTCTCCAGTTGCTTCTTCGGGTGATACAAATTTGGGATAGAGAAACAAGCACACATATATACACAGAAGCGAACGAAATCAGCGTTATTTAACAACCATCAGAAGTGGGTTGATCCTTCTTTTATTGTATTCAATTATATGTTACTTTCGTTTATACCTCGAAGGTTGTTCATGGCTTCCAAAGCTTTTCAAAATGATTTGGTGGAGTGATTGTTTGTGAGGTATACTTTTGTCAGAAGTTTAACAAAGTACTCAAAGCCTGCTCAGGATGAACCGTTTGTGACAGGTGGATCTCAAAGAGAAAGTTCGGATAGGAGTCTATCGAGATTGATAAACAGATGACATAGGAAAGCAAAAAAACAACATTGAAAACAACATTAGAAGAAGATGGAGGACAACAAGGAAGTGTTGGAGAATATACTGAACAAATTTTGCAAGAACAGGATACAGAGTAATTACGGTGATATCATTAATCAATCACAAATAAAAAGGAGCAGAAAAATTTACAAGAATCTTTTAATGATTTGTGACAACTCATGACAACCCTCAAGGGAAGAAAATATCATTAATTTGGAATAGGAGTACTTGGAAAACTGCCAGTGCTTCGCATACCAGTGAGAAGACATAAATTTAATTGATGCCAATTTTCATTGTTGAAGGAACAAGAAGGTAGGGCACCCTAGCAGAGGTTCTCAAGGTCTGTGAACACCCATCCAGCTTCTTTTCTTTGTTGCGTAATGTTACTGCGAGGGCAATGAAGAATGTTAGAATGGAGGTTGTGCCACGTCTTCTTAATCGTAGGCAT